CTGCTGTGGGCAGGGTCTGTATAATGTCATCATTTGTTTTCTGACAGGACTTCGAACAGCCCTCCCCATGTAACAGGCTCTCAAACTCAGTCTGATTAGAAGCTGAACTGGAGCTTATCTGGCTGTAACATAGTAGAGAGATACAGCTATAGTAATGAAAGGTTTCCTTTTACTTCAGGAAAAATTAATGGATGTTTGTCCTTTTTTAACAGTTAAGTGTGAAATACTGAGGTCTTCTGTCATCTGCGTATAAATACATTCTTACTGGGGGAGGGATGTCAGTTTTGTTGAGATATAATTCACATGCCATACAACTGACCCATTTAACATATGCAGTCCAGTGGTTTTTAGTATATTCAGAGTTGCACAACCCTCACCACAATCATAGAACATTTTCATCATCCCCAAAAGAAACCTTGTACTCGTTAGTAGTCCCTTTACATTCCCCCTTCTCCCAGGCCCCTAGCAATCACCAATCTACTTTTTGTCTATTGGGATTTGCCTATTTTGGATATTTCATCTAAATGGAATCAGAAATATATGGCCTTTTGTGCCTGGTATCTTTCACATAGCATACTGGTTTCTAGGTTCATCCATACCGTAGCATGAATCAATACTTCATTCCTTTTTATGGCTAAATATTCTATTATATGGATATACCACGATTTCGGTATATGTTATTCGGTTGATGGACATTTGGGTTTTGGGCTATTATGAGTAATACTGCTCTGAACACTCATGTGTAAATTCTTTGGTGAAAACTTGTTTTCATTTCTCTTCGGTATAGACCTAGGAGTGGAATTGCTGGGTCATATGGTAACTCTTTTATCTTGGAGAAACTGCCGAACTGTTTCCCACAGCAACTACACCATTTTAGATTTGTACCAGCAGTGCACAAGGGTTCCAACTTCTGCACATCCTCATCAACATTTGATATTATTTGTCTTTTGATTACAGCTCTCCTAGTGGGTGTGAAGTGGTAACTCATTGCAATTTTGATTTTTGTTTCCTGGTGGCTAACAATGTTGGACATCTTTCCATGAGTTTTTTTTGCCATTTGCATATCTTCTTTGAAGAAATGTCTATTCAGATTCTTTCCTGTTTTTATATTGGGTTATTTTATTGTTGAGTTGTGAGAGTCTTTATATAAGCATATTCTTAAATAGGTCTTTTAAGATTCCCTATTCTGTGGCATCTTTGATCTTTAACATAATGTAAACTCTATAACTTGGGCACCTCATTGCCCTGACTCATTTATTCATTCAGTCAGTATTTACTGACCATCTCTGTGTGGAAGGGATTGTGCTCTCCGCTCTCAAGTATATAAAATGAATAAAATGCCCTCTGCTTCCAGGAGCACAAAACAAAGCAGGAATTGAAGTACTATAGTGATAAATTTCTGTGCATGTTCAGAAAAAGAGATGACTTTCAGATTGAGGAACCAAGGAAGACAACCTGAAGGAGATGGTGTTTTAAGTGGCCTTTGCAGGATGCATAGGATTTAAATACAAGAAGACTGCGGGGAAGAATCCAAGTAAAGATCGTGAGATTAGACAGTATGTTCTGTGGAATGGTAACTAGTCTACTTTAACTTTTAGGGCTGAAATTTTCAGAGCTTAAAAAGAGATATACCAGGAACAAAGACTGGAAAGGCAGTTGGGACCACGTGTTGATTATGAACGGAGAAGCAGTCTGGATGGCATTTTATCAGCGACGCATGAGCCCCTGGATGTTTGGAGTTAGGATGGGTCGATGTGCTCAGAATGGGGCCTGGAAAGACTGTGCGGAAGGGTGTACTCCAGGTGGAGTTGGGGGGGGATTGAAAGCAGCCCTGCTGTGTTTCTGTTTTGAAGACTGACATATGCTTTAGAAGACAGGAAGGCCTGTAGTTAAGAAATGCCTGTGAAATTGTTTAATTTCAAGAATTTGAAGTTTATTTTAGGTACAACTTTGGGTTTTGCTGCCTTAGTTAAATATTATACAAGTAGTAATTTTTTAGTAAGGGTTGGTTGGTTACCTGGTCAGTTGTAAGACTGTGGATCATAGAATCAGATCACTGATTTTAAAAGAAGAAGACATGTTAGACATTAGCTAGTCCATCCCCTCCTTTTATGGAAGCCTTAGAGGGGAAGTGAGTTCCCGTACTCACCTGGTCCTAAATAAAGGGAGAGTGTCCTGACTACCAGACCAAATGTCCTCCTCAATTTTACAAAAATAATTTTAACCTTCTTTTGCTACATGACAATAACAACAATAGATTCTGCTTTACAGTAGAAGCTATTGGTCAGGGTCCTCAAAGATAGAGGCCCAAAGATGAATGAAGGCACGAGAGAGACCAGACCTGTGTCTGCCCTTCTCTGGATTCTTTTCCTTCTACCCATAGTGTCTTTGATCTAAGCCTTGTGTGAGGAGGATGCGGTGTCATTCTGATAGGCAGGGGATATGGGTTCTTGCCTGTTCACTGTGTGAACCCTGAGTAGGTCTCACCCTCTTTAGGACACAGTTTTCTCATTCCTTCCGCCTTTAGAATTAATGATCCAGTTGTGCGATCTGCAATTCTGTAATTCACCAAGCAAGCAAACAGCATTTATAAGAAACTATCACTTGTGTAATATTGAACTAGGGTAGCAAAACCCAAAGTATGTGTGACGGAGTATGTGTGAGGGAATCCATGTGCACAAGGCGCCTTCCGGCACCTACAACATGCATGTCATCCCTGTGGGATCTGGTAGAGTTACATCACAGCCCCTACGGAAGAAGGGCCACTTGTGGTTCCCCTGTGGATCTGTTAGCCCCCATCTTAGAAATCTCCAGTGTTTTCAAAGTATTCTTGTGGACTTGGGTCTATGTCAGACAACAGCCCTTCAGGCTTAGAGATAGGCAGTGCATGAATTTGACAAACTTACAATGCAAACAAGTACCAGAACTTACACTAGATGAAAACTGGAGAGTGGAACGGAATGTTGTTCTTACCCCAACAGTTTTGCTTTTTGTGTAACTGTCTGCTGTGTGATGAGTGACTCTTCCTTTTTTGGAGTGATTTGAATTTGTTGCTGTGGTGGTGGTTTTCCATGGTAACTGCTGTTGCCACACATCTGGCATCTGATGAAATGGCTCCTAAATCCCAGGGGTCTGCACAGAGCCTGAATACTCCTCATCCCCTCATCTTGCCAAGGATGTGGAGAAACACTGGGCGGAGGGCGTGGTGGCTCTGCTGTGTTGACGAGATTTGCTTCGCAATGGCTGAGTTCCTGGGGGTATCATCAGGGCTCCTCCAAAAGTTAGCTGGGCTGTGGATGCTTCACCCTGGAAACTCCTCCCCTCCCTGTGGAGCAGGCGAGTATAAGAAAGAGGGGGTATATTTGGAACAAATATTTCTAAATCATCAAGGCATAAATATCAGCACTGCTTTGTTTGCTTGTTTGTTTAAACCAAAAATTACTAAATTGGAAGTAGAGGTCAACCAAAATCCTACTGAATTTCTGAGTAGCAGTCCAGCATAGGTCCTGTGTTTTAGGTATTTCATTTAAAATGGAAAGTTCCAGGTTGCATTGGGGCCAAAAATCCCCCAAAGAAATCCTTACTGGAGGCGTATTATGGGTCACTGTATATTTGCTAGTTTATATCTTGGTGACTAAATTGGCAAAATTTTTATTTTTCCTGGTAAACATTCAGAAGGTTTTTTTCCTCACTCCTTTTCCTCACAGAATCATATTTGTCATACATGTATGAAGCAAACGACTGTTAAAACTGTCCACACATCTGTGATGATATGAAAATTAGCAGTGGCAAACAAAGATTTTCTTTCTTAGGTACCACAAGGCCTCAGATGAAGTTGACTTTATCCTAATATTACTCTCAAATTGTGACCAAGTGGAAACAAAATTGGTCAGGCCTTAGAGACCAATATGAATAGTACAACAAAAGGGTTATTATTTGTGAAAAATTTAGATCCCCTTGCCCCCATATGACTTAGAAAGCTTAAAGTTTTCTCTTAAAGTAATTATTATTCTCGTTTATAAACTTAGAAGGTATACAACCTATTTATTATAAGCATACAAAGGGGCATACTTCTTTTAATTTATAATGAGGCACAGAGCCTTTTTAAAACGGGAATGAAAGACATCAAGATGTCAAACCAGATCAAAATGTGAACTTTAATTTGAATGTCTAACTTTGAAAAATGTTTTAAGAACCTCACCTGTGGATAAAGCATGTTATAAATTACATGCAGAAACTCTGCTGATAATAATCTATTTTTAACATGCCATTTTAGTGTTCTCTAAGAACAAAATGTTTATTTTTCATTAAACAGTGCATTTTTATTTCTTTTAATTTTGGGGACAAATATGTGAATCATTAATCCATAAATTTTCCTTATTCTTTAAAAAAGAAAACAACATACCAAAGCTATAATAAAAATGTAATGAATAAGAAAAGTGAGTTTGGCATAGTGTTCTAATGAACCCTGTGTTAAGTCATCCTCTTATAGGTATGGAGTTGAATACCCATAAATCAAAAGTTGTTTCATGTTTTAAATTAACTTTTGAGATGGTTTATGGTCAATACTTTTTTCTCCTGTTACTTTATTACAACTTTTAATTTTAAAACTCTACCCTAAAGAGTTATTGAAGAAATAGTAATTATGTGAGGTGATGGAGGTGTTAGCTAACTCTATGGTGGCGAACGTTTTTGCAATATATACGTACCAAATCAACACATTGTATACCTTAGACTTACATAATGTTGTATGTCAGTTATATCAATAAAGCTGGGGGGAAAAAGAGTTATTGTGCTAGAAAACCACGTTTATGTAAAATGTCTCATGCTTGGCAGCGACCCTGTGCTCGGACCATGTTCTGAGAATGGCAGGCCGCGTGTCACGTTGCCAAAAACTTTCCACTGGGAGTAGTTTCGCAAGGGGCCGGGCAGGCAGGCAGCCGGGGGCTGAGGTAGGGATATTTCTCCTGCTTGGTGACTACATCATTTCTCTTGTGTAGGTGAAGCTGCTCTCAGGGGAGAACCCAGGATGCAGACCATCCCGGTCGTGTCTGCCCTCACCAGTCACCGCACGGGCCCCCCACCCATCAGCCCCAGCAAGAGGAAGTTCGGCATGGAGCAAGGGGACGATGACCTGGACTGTGAAAATGACCATGCTTCCAAGATAAGTCGCATCTTCAACCCCCATCTGTAAGTTCCCTGTTCTGAAATGTGGGCCTTCTGATATTGGCTTGTGTGCGCCATGCAAGAGCCACCTTTCTCTTGCAACTTTGTGTCGACAGTGAAGTGAAAGAATGAATAGTGCTCATCTGCCAGGAGGGGGTATTAAACAGTGATGTGAATACCGAGAGATACCTTATTTCCTTCTGGCTTATGTGTCTGATTATTTGTGTGTTTTCCCCGTGGATGTTAACGGAACTTACTGTTTCTTGGGGTGGTTGTCTAAAAACATCCTCTCTTCTTTCTTATGCTACTGATGGTTGTTAGGAGAGCCAGTCTTTGGCGAACGTCTTCATGTGCCAGGGACATGGATGGGGCGGTTGGCACCTGAGGAGACTTCCGTAAAATGCTTTACTTACGAGTCTAGAATTGAACACGTTAAGTATTAATTCTCACCTTATGTGTTCACAGTATAAACTTGAGATCTTCCCAAAGTAGGAAAGATGGCTTTTGTGTTTGTGATAAGGTACTGTTTATTACGTCTGATGCGTGAGCCTGTTGCAGCCATTAGAGTCTTGGGGCCAGTTCTTGATGTGCCATGAATACTTTCTATAATCACAACATGTGTTGCTACATCTGTCTGGGGCTCAGTTTCCTTATTTATGTAATGAAAGGATTGAAATGAAAGCTCTCTGGATCTGTGCAACCTTTACCACGTTTGTATCTGGAAAACAGCTTGTGTTTCTGCGCACTATATTCCGGCTTTCCCTTTGCACTTTCCTTTAACACGCGCATGCTTTGAAAAGGGAGCAGAATGCTTTCTCACATATTTTCAGGACTTTGAGACACCCTGCCAGGTGCCAGGAGAGTTTGCCCTGGCAATGGTTTTAGCTAGTTTGTACAATCAGAGTCTGGGGTATTGGCAGAGGCAGGGAGGTAGCTCTGGTTATTGGAAGGAATCTCTCTGTGTATCCAGGTAAAAAGGTTCTACTGCTTTCCCACTTCTCACACATGAGTTAATGATTTGTAATTATTCAAGATGCTCAGTTTCCCTGGTTCTGATTTCCGAGGATGCTCCTGTTTCTGGCAAGACTGTGAGGCCCCGAGAGTTCTCATTTCCTCATTGGAGGAGGAGACCTTACGCAGTTAGGTGGCGGATAGCGCCAGCAGCCCTCTGCTGCCTCAGCGACAGCAGTCCTTGGCATTCCACACATTCCAGCTGCTTGGACTGTTGTGTGCAGTCATAAGACCCAGTGACAGAGGTATTTATCCTCCAATAAATCACCGTAGTGTTGGAGGCTGAGCCTGCAGTCTGGAGCCCTGGAATTTGCTACACTCAGGAAGGAATCTAGCAACAAGGCACTGCAAAACAATGAGCTCTTGCAAATGCATTGGCTTATAGTTTAGATCCTGGGTGCTCAACTCTTTGGAGTTTATTCTTTTGTTACTAGGAATTTATTTTTCTCTCATAGCACCTCCTCCCCAAACCCAAATAAGAGACATTTGGTTTTGGGACTTTGGTTTTTGTTTTTGTTTTGTTTTTTTTTTTTTTGAGGAGAGGGAGGGAGGGAGGAAGGGAGGAAGGGAAGAAGACAAGGAGGCAGTCCTGAGATAGTATGTTTTGGGATCACACATGCCTCAATTGCAATCCTAATCTGACACTTACCAGCTGTGAGGCCTTGGACAATCACTTAATATATCTGGGTCCATTATTCTTCTGTGTAAAGTGGCAATGATTATAGTTCATGTATAGAACTACTGTGAGCATTAGAGGTAAAATTTGCAAGGTGTTTGACATAGTATAATTAATATTCAGCTAATATAGGTATTATTAAATCCATTATTGAGATACTGGTACTGATGAAAGAGAATAAGAATTCTGTAACGGTAAATTTAATGTTTCAGAGTGCTGCATTTTAGTAAGAAATTCTGGGTTCAAATCCCTGCTTTGTTTTTCAATGAGAGTAATCCTCATAGGATGACTTTAAGGGCATTAAGCACTCATCTTTAGCCATTATTAATAGTATTATTAGCATGTTAAAACATTTAAAATACGCTTTTGTAATTCCTTGGGTGGCTACAAATATGACCTTGAAGTACAGGTCTATGATGACACTGTAAGTGAAGTGTAAATAATAAAAATAGAATTGCCAGATTTCTTGTGCAACTCACAATTGACATCATCATGCTAAATCTTAGGAAAATAGAAACGGTAGCCACCCCCATGGGCAGACTTCCTGGACCTAAGAAGGAAACGTGATAAGTGTGTGGTCAGTTTCTTCTGATGTCACTTGTTCACCATGTGATAGTTATTCAAGCATTACCAGTATTTCTACTTGTGTGTGCTACTAGTCGGGTAACAGATTTTGCAGGCAAATTGGAGAGATGCTGCATCTCTAACTCTTCATGTTGTATAGTTCTTAGGAAGTGCTGTTGTTTGATTTGATGAAATGTTTCCTACTTGAGGAATTGCATGCTCCCTCCTTTTTATTTACTATGTCTAGGACCTTTTCAATAGTAAAATTCAGACTCATGTTTATTTGGAAAAGAATGGTGTGGCATATTGGTTTAAGAAGCTTACAAAATGATTTTTACCCTTTATCTCCTTAGAGTATGTCAATGAAAATGTATTTTTTTATTTTATCAGTAAAGAAATCACTAATTCTGGAGGAAGAAGTGTTGTTGAAAAACAGTTTTGACAGCTAGCCAAGAGAGTCTTAAAGATGTATGCTTTGGCTACATTTCATTATAACCTCACATTGAAATATTTTCCAGTAGAGAGATGGAGAGATTGAGTGGCTCTGAGCCAGAATAGGAAGCTACAGAGTATGACCAGATTTCATCTGATTTGATCGGCGGGGGGGGGATGTCGGGAGAGACAATAGAGGTTTCCTTTGTAATTTCTCCAGAACTTGGATACCGAGAATTTTTGGACACTGGGTCCAGCCATTTATAAAACTGGGTCATTTGAACTCTTTATTAGTTTTCTTGTTGATATGGCGACCCTGAGAAATATATTTTGGGTTTGTTGTTGTTGTTGTTGTCGTTCTTTGTTTCCTAAGAAAACTGTTAAGAACATGAATGTCTGTTGTGGAAGTTGAAAAGAACTATCTGCACTTAGAAAGAAAGTGGATTATGGTATGAGGCAGAGGTGGGAGGGGTGGGTAGAGTTGGGGTTTCTCTCATGGAAATGTCAATAAGTAACTTTTCTGCGACCTGCGTATTCAAGTATGATTTGGTAAGGAAGAGCTCTCCCTTTCCTCCTGCCTATCTATCATTCATTTGGACTCATGGATTCCTCTTTTATTTGGAGAGTTGTAGCTGTCCCTGATTTGGCAAATCCGTTCAGCTGGCTCCTGTGTGCCGGTTACATGCCTCCTTTTTTTTTTTTTTTTTTTTAAATTCAGCATTTTCTTATTTTCCAGCAAATGAGATGCTCATCTGATAACCTACCTGCCTCAGCTGTGGAATCAGCCGTTTTCCCAGAGCACCCTGGCTCCTTTCTGTGGGGAATAGTATTTAGAAGCCAAGACCTGGGTGCCCATTGTTGTTGCGGTGTCATTGCCGTAGCTTGGAGTTGCCTAGCACAATAGACATTAGCTACATGAGGAAATTTACATTTAAAGTTTAATGAAATAAAAAATTTAGTTCCTCAGTTGCACTAGCCACATTTTAAGCTCAGTAGCCACATGTAGCTAGTGGCTACCCTATTGGACAATACACGCATAGGACATTTCGACTCTCAGAAAATTCTGTTGAACAGCAATGCTTCTAGACCCTTTCAGTGGAAAGGCTAGTAACTGATGAGTTCATACGAACTCTACAGCTGCACAGCATTTTTCTTTATCCTCCCCCTTTCCACATTTCTCTCTCCCTGGTTCCCAACATCACATCTCCTTGATCAGTCCTACAGTACACATAAAATAGTTTCAGAATTGCTATGGTCATACCATTTTGGAAAAACCTACCAAAGAGACTTCAGGACGTGTTGGCAGTGTTTTTCCCCTGTGCCAAGGGAAAATAGTCAAAGTACTCACTTTAAAAGTTACTTCTCCTCCCCACCTTTCAGTGTTATGTTCATTAGCATATATATATATATATATATATATATATATATATATATGGGTTTGTTAATTTCTGTTCCAATTCAGTTTTAGGTTTTTCATCTTTATTGTTGATTTCATTTTATTTTTTGAATGTGTAAAACATTAACATGCTTCTAAAAGTAGAAACAATGTTTCATAGTATATGTAAGTCATTATACTGTGCACTCTTAAACTCACACAGTACTCCCTGTCAATTATATCTCCATAAACCTGAAGGGGAAAAAAGTCAAAACTATTAAAAAGTAGTTAAAGAAGTGTTATTCCCTTCCCTGTCTCTTTCACTTCTTTTGTCCCCTGCCCATATAGATGATTATCCTTCTTGTATTTCTTTTTGTTAAAGTAAGGAGATACATGAGTGGTTTCTCATTACCCCTTCTTTCTTCCACTAAGTTAGCACATTTTATATCCTTATTTGAGCTTTGGTGTTCTGTTTTTTCTTTTTTAAATCCTCACTTGAGGATATGCTTATGAGAGAGGCAGGAAGGCAGACAGACGGACGCAGACACTGACCGGCTGTCTCCCATGTGCGCCCTGACTGGGGATCAACCCACAACCTTTCGGTGCACAGGATGTCGCTCCGACCGACTAAGCCACCTACCTGGCCAGGGCCTGAGCTTTGGTGTTTTCCTTTTCTTTTTCTTTTTTCCTTCCTTCCTTCCTTCCTTCCTTCCTTCCTTCCTTCCTTCCTTCCCTCCCTCCCTCCCTCCCTCCCTCCCTCCCTCCCTCCCTCCCTCCCTCCCTCCCTCCGTCCCTTCCTTCCTTGTTGTTCAATTCCAGTTGTCCCCATTTTTCCCTCATTGCTCTCCCCTGCCCTGCCCCCTCCCCACTCCCCTGCCCCCTCCCCCCCATCCAGTCCTCCTCAACTGTTGTCTTTCTCCCTGGGTCTTTTATACATGTTCCTTGACTTGACCCTTCCTCTACTTT